ACCATTAAGTACAATTTTAAACAAAAATATTAGCAGGATGTAATAAGATAAAAGAGATAAAATATCTTTGCACAGTTGGTTTCCTACTGTCAGGTCCATGACAAGCTGTTAACTCTCACAGCTGTAGAATTTAGAAGCAACCTATTACTTCCCCTGAAGAGAGCTGACTAAACCAACTAGACTTCAACTTAGGCCACTGAGCTCATCTGAAGAAAAACAATTTCTCCATCACATAAACAACAGAAAATATAATATAAATTATTTAGAATTATATAGTTTATCCTAAGAATTATCTACAATTTCATTTCAGTTACTTATTAGGTTTCTAGCAYAGGTTAAACTAAGCAATTTGCTAACAGAATGCAAGTAGTTAGGTGAGGACCCACTCAGTTGCAAAAAATCGTTCCTCAAATCTACTAATGAAATGAATCCACAAAAGCAGCGGAATATGGAAAAAAACCCCAACACTATTAGAGCATAACAGTAAACAGAAACTGAAGTTCTTTTGACACAAAGTAAACTGTCTGAACCCACTCTCACTCTAATACCCGGAGGAGGACACAAAAATCAATTTTTTTTCACCCCTGACATTTAAAAGTCAGCCTTTGGTCCAACTATGAATGTGTTTGTATATGACAAGAACAATTATCAGCAGAACTTTTACTTCCTCCTTAGGYCTTAAATTTTTTGTAAAAGAGGTAAGGCCAACAAGATTGGCATATATGTACATACACATATATATATATTTATATGCATACACACACATATATATTCTGTGTATCGGACACACTGTTATACAGCTGCAAACACGTCAATAATTGGATGTACTGGGATTGGTTAAGACAGAGTTAATTTTCTTCACAGCAGCCCTCARAGTGCTTTGTATTGGTAGSTAGAAAGGTGCTGGTAACACAYCAGTCCTTGGCTACTGCTAAGCAGTGCTGGCACAGCATCAACACTCTCTCTAACCTCACCAGCAGGCTGGGGTTGGGCAAAATCTTGGGRGGGAACACAGCCAGGMCATTGACCCAAAGTGACTCCCAGAGCATATGATATCTGCTTAGCAATACAAGCTAAGAGAACGGAGGAGGGGGAAGGACATGTGAGAGGGGCAGGGAGCATTCCTTATTTACAACATACTGGAGCAATCTCTATGCATGCTGAAGCCCCACTTCCCAGAAAGTGGCCAGACAGTACCTACTGATGGGATCTTTTGGTTTCCTTTGCTTCCATGTGCAGATTTCGCTTTTGCTTTAATAAAATGCCTTYATCTTAACCCACAATTTATTTTTTCAATCTCTTTTTAAACTAGATTATTTTGAGTGATCCTTATTGTTTAATTTTTCCCAAATAGTAGTTTTGACTTTCTGGCCAGAGTTTCCAGAAGAAATTGAAGAATCTCAACTCTATGAATTATTTTCACGTTTTGAAATGCCTCAAGCCATCCTCTGGATCACCTTGTGCACCCCTGTGATCTAGCAAGCTTTCTCAGACAAGTAAATCACTCCAGAGCTAATTATTTCTTCACCTCTGTCTGCTCCTTCTCTTCCTYATGAAAAAAAGATCTAAGAGAAGAAAGCAACAATCAGAATAGCAGAAGATATTGTGCATGAATGCACATCCTGAGCTGGCCAGGACTGCTGAACATGTAATAATGAAGTCATATGTCAACAGAGAAAAGAAATACTAAGGAAGGTTACTTTTCAGACCTCCATCATTTCCCATTGAAATGGTGGTGTCAGGACTCTCACAGTTGATTTGAAACTCCTGAAGAGAAATGGAGTGCACGAAAGGCTGTATGCCAGTAAGATCCCCAGAAGCAACACTACTAATTTTAATTTGCCATTAAGATCTTGTACATAGACAGATAGAAAAATGCTGCATTTGACATCATGTTTTCACTTAGTGAAGCACTGTCAGTGTTGGGTGAACTTGCAATGGAAACCTGGATTCTGAACCCACTGTACCAGACACACTATGAAGCCAAAAGCAATGTTACTGATCCGAAACCTCAGAATGTGCATACCAACCCCAAATCTGCTTCAGCAGTATTGCAGACTCTCATTCTAGTTTCTATCAAGAGAAATATCTGTCTTAGGCCAGTAGGTACCTGTAGAGAGACCTCAACAAATTAGAGAGCTGGCAATCACCAATTGTGTGAAGTTTAACCATGTCAAGTGCCAGAWTCTGCACTTGGGATGGGGCAATCCTGGATGTACAGACAGACTGGGGAATGAGAGGCTGGACAGCAGTGCCTTGGAAAGGGACCTGGGGGTCCTGGCCTATGGCCAGTTGAATTTGAGTCAGCAGTGCCCTGGAACTCAGGAGGGCCAACCCTGTCCTGGGGGGCATCAGGCACAGCATCGCCAGCCGGGCAAGGGAGGGGATTGTCCCGCTCTGCTCTGRSCTGGGGCRGCCTCACCTTGAGTTCTGGGGGCAGTTTTAGGTGCCACAATATAAAAAAAGACATAAAGCTATTGGAGASCATCAAAAGCAATGACACAAGGGAGGTGCAGGGTCTGGACAGGAAGTCTTATGAGGAGAGGCTGAGGTCACTTGGTCTGTACAGCCTGAATGAGACTGAAGGGAGACCTCGTCACAGTCTTCAACATCCTCATGRGGGAAGAGAAGGAACAGACACTGAYCTCTTCACTCTCATGACCAGTGACAGAACTTGAGGGAATGGYATGAAGCAGAGTCAGGAGACATCCACAAAATGGATGACTGAACACTGGAACAGGCTCCCCTGGGAAGTGATCACTGCACCAAGCCTGTCTGAATTCAAGAAGCATTTCAACAACACTCTTGGGCACATGGTGTGACTCYTGGGGCGTCCTATGCAGGGCCAGGAGTTGGACTTAATGATCCTGATGGGTCAYTTCCAACTCATCATATGCTATGATTGTTCATATGCATCTTAAGTAATTATCCTTAATATATGRGGGAAATCCTAGGCTTTGTTTCTGGAACACGAGAAAAATAATTTCTTARAAAGGAGAGAATCTACAGAAGGACCTCAGATAGGCCTGGGCTGCATAGAAACATTGCCTTTCATTGCTTATTATAAAAGAAAGGTACATTCAGTTACAGGGAGTAGTACTGCAATACAGTAGTTATTTCACATCTGATTCACATTTTTGAGCTGAGACAATTGAAATTTTCTTCTGTAAAAATACTTTATTAAAAAAAAAAAACCTTAAAAAAAAGTTGTAGGAAATAATATGCTGAAAAACAACCCACTGGCCTTTTTTCCAGTTTAATTTCTAATCACTTCATCTGTAAAGGTATTCTYTTTGAAGAAAAGTATTGCAACACTCCTATAAAGCCAGACAATTACTGCAACAAGTGGAGATAATGCCTAGGATACTATATATTACAGAAAAAAAAAAGTATAGACTTTGCCCCCTGCTGATTGGATGCTGCCTTTTGGGTAATATGATTCCTTATTTTAGTATACAGCCATTACCTATGACTTCATATTTAAGGCTGTACAGCTTTAAAACTGAGCATGAACTCCTSTTTTACTTTAACACAGAATGTCCTCTGAATAGYCASTGCTGCCTTCTATAGTTTGTCTTTYAATGACTTTTTAACAGGAAACTTCCAAAGGAATGAAAACACARTTTCCCATCAGCCATACTATTTCTCATTGTTAACAATTTCTTACAAAACACTACATATTGGAAAAGTGCAGAACATGCCTAATTAGTGCACTGGCAATTTATTCTACCAAAAAGAAAGGTTCTACATAAGGCTTTATACACAGTTGCCAAGAAATTATTTTCAATCAGATGTCAATTTAATTAAATCRTACTCTTCCTTCCCTGATTTCACATACATACAACTTCTCTGAGAGGCAAGAAAGCAAAATTTGAGCCTCACAATATGTCTTCATTATTCTTCAAAGTGCAGGCACCTGGCGTATCAGAATGGCTACTGCTAGGTAATAGGAGATGCGGTGTTACAGTCATTACCCAAAGAAATACCAGACACTGTCCATCTTGCTTATGTTGTGAACCTTTGTGTATTCAATTAATTTTTTCCCAATTACTTCCCCATTCAGAGTTATGACTATTAGGAAGAACACTTCAGTGTAAGACTGCAATAATTACCTGGTCAAAAAAAGAATCTGCAAGGAAGAAYAGAACTTTAGCTAAACATTTTTGCWCTTAGGGTGCTACAAARTTGCTTTTTACTCAATGCTACACCATCCCAAGCCAAACATGCTCTCTATTTAACTAGTACAGTGCGTAGTAACAAAATACTTCCAAAACAATACACAATTCTGTTCTTAAAGACAGTGATTTTATCTTAAAAAAAACCCACTTGCAAGGTTTATTCAACATGGCATTGGAATGTCTCACTACCTTCATGTTCATTCAGTTGGTTATCAGTTGATTCTCACCTGTATCACCTGAAAAAATGCTGTGACAATTAAGATTATTAATGCTTTTCTAGGGCCAAAGCACAGTAAAATGCAACAAAACATAGCCATCTCCTGTAGAAATACCATTTCCAAACACTAGAAACTGAAAAATGATTGGGGATGAACTGTTCATTCAAACTAAGAAAAGAATTAAAATAAAATCAATTTTTTATCTCCCTTCTGGCAGGTTTTTATGATTTGGCTTCCCTGGCACAGTCTGACTTCAAAGAAAAATATCAGCAAGGTAATAGAGTGGAATAAACTGAAAAGCCAAAGCAAAAACAGCTACAAAAATAAAAAAAAAACCACAGCAAGAAATAACAAAGTAACCAGGACAAAATATAAAACATAGTGGCTAGGAGGGAGAGGAAAACACAAAATGACTCAGAAAAAGACAATGCATAAATATCTTTTATGTCTCTAATTAATGTATATGATATAAAGAATTGCTAATAGTACATTGGATCATTTATATAGTTTCTACACTGCTTTTTTATACTGTTTTTGCACTGTATTTATGCTTTCCTGATTTGTTTTCTTTTTTCTTTTTTTTTTTGTAAATAACCAAATTTACCAGATTCCATGGTCATCTGAAGTAATGCATCAAAAGCACTGGAAAGCAGACCTCTACTGGATACTTTYAGGTGACTTAATACAACAGGCACACATTGGTATTCCAAAAATAAGGCCTTCCCTTCATTCGTCTTCAAGTCTACACGAAGGGAATCAAATGCCTGAGCCAGGTAATCCACTGCAAGATATYAGAATAAAAGCAATAAAAATTCTATAACCATTGTTTCATTAAGCAATGTGAAAAACTGACAGTTATCATTGCATATAGACMCTTAGAAGTTAAATGGCTGAAAATATTAAATTTATTGTCTTTTATTTAAGGCATCCTCAGCCTGTTTTTATTCCTTAACAATTTATTGTGAGTGAAGAAAAAGACTATTTACAATTCATATGTTTAAGAAAAAGATACTTACAGATTTAAAGCCCTGCAAATATTTTGTTAAAGAGGAATGAAAATAAMAACTTGCATAGTTTGAGACGATGTTGTTTTCAACATCTGAGAAACTTCTATTAATGGAGTCAATGGCTGATATTTCTGAGTGAGAGCAATTACTTTCATGAGAACAACTACTCCCATTCCTTCTATAAAAAGCTGTCGTTTCAGTACAAACATTTTATATTCTCATCCATTGTGAGAAATTATGCRAAGGATATAGATTAAGTGCACCAATCTATTTTCTTAATTTCTTGATGTCAAATCTTACTGAGTATCTTGGAATTGCATGGATCATCTGGAGCGCAGAAAATTAAGTAGAAGGAAACAATTTATCCTGCTCATAAGTTTAACTACGGTGCCATCTGCTGGATACTGACATTTTGAATGAAAGAGGACATATGTTCAAACCAAATCTGCTACTTTATCACCAGATCATTAGTGCCATGTGGCCAGAGTGATCAAAATTCATACAAAGTGATATCTGACATATGTTTAACAACAGATCATATTTTCTGTGTTACAGAAGCCAGCAGTAAAAAGCAATCATGAGAAGCTAAACTGATTCTAATCAAGAACATTCATCTGCTTTGGGTAAATCAGTCTCCACAATGACTAGTTTTTGTATTGTAATTCTTCTTGCTTTGTTTTTATCAAACATGTCTAGAATGTGAGTCTGAATTTGAGACTAATTATCATGCTTCACCAAAATATGTTGACTGAAATAGTTTTCTCCAACAGCTGGAACACAGCGTTAGTGATCTTCCACCATGTTTTAATCCTGTGTTTACTGTAAATACTCTCAATCTAAATACTGCATAGGTGATCAAGCATAAAAACATACTCATCTTCTTAAACATCTAATCCAGAAGCATGACCTCTGTGAAAAAGAACTCTATTCGTTATCTATGCATTTAAAATCTTCAGCATTCCTGTTTAGTGTCAGTCAGGGTGCCACAGACTGTAGCAATTTTGTGATATGGATCTCTGCTGTCTAAGAAACAGCTCAAAATGTAACACATTWCATGCAASGGACTAAAAAARTCAGATGCCAAAGCAGACATCTGATTTTGACATTCTGGAGAGGTTTTTCAAGAGTATCTTGRAAATTAACATCTCTGTAATCTGTATCAATCAGTGTGTGTTACTAACCATGTAACTTGTAAAGATATTTTAAAATACAAGCCATTCTGAGAAAAAAAGGTAGCAAAAACAGAATCATGGAATAATTTCGCTTGAAATCTAGTCCAACCTTCCTGTCGAAAGCAAGACCATCTCTGAGGTTAGGTTAGATTGCTCATTGTGACCCCACTAAAAATTACTCACTATCAAAAATCTKTGCTTTTAAAATGTCTTTGAAAAAGAAAAAAATAAGTGGTTAGTACACAGAGCTAGAAAAGAATTCTAGGGATGTTCGTTCTTATGCTATCCTTGTAAAACTTACTCCTGCAGTAAACCCCAGTTATGCAGACTCATAGGACTGCTAAGTWGCTGCAGGTAAGCTGCAAGCACATCTTATAACTGCTCTTAATGGTACAGAATTACTTTCCTGCCTGAGTTCCATAAAACGATCTGCAACACCTTGTTTCTTGTTTCCTCTGAAGAGAGATAAGATTTCATAGCTGAAGGCAGCAGTTAACAAATCAGTTGAGAGAAGAGGTATTCTATAATTTCAGTCATATTTTCCATGCTTCTCACACTGTGCAGTTACAATCTGATTCATATAATCTTGCAGTGTCTACTTTGAAACCTTTACCTTCTCCTCCCTCTTCAGAAATGTTGATCTGTCTGACAAGTCATGATATTAAAAGGAAAACATAAATTCTAACATAAAACGAGCAATAGCAAGATTCATACTTGTATATTGATATTGCTTCACAATATCCAAGAGAAACCATTTTTCACTAATAAAGCATAATAGACCCTACAGTATCACTAAAATGCTTTTTGACCAGGCACACGACTGAAATAAATAGATATAAARAATTGTGACTTACCTTGTGTCACAGTTTTAAGCACAATTAAAGTTGACAGAAACCTCACAGGCATACAGGAACTCCGAAAGAAAGCTGCTGACTTTGATTTACTCTCYGCAGACTGTTCAGAAGAACTGTGTGGGTTTCCCTTACTCACTATGCCTTTGAAAATATCTTCGCCAAGTCTCCTCATGGTTGATCTCACTGTTGCCTGCTGCTTCAAACAGTGAAGTGTAAGCATTAAAACACAACATACATTCATTCTCCATGCAATTAAATATGAAGTAGCAAACGGTGTGACCATGTATTGGAGTATAATCAGTATAGGAGATGCTGATTGTGTTCCAAAAGCAGTTGAACAACATTATCACAGTGCCTTATCAACACACACGTATCAGCAAGATACTAACTAGTGAGAGTCCTGGATATACTGACTTTATTTAAGGTGCCTCTGGTTCCAGAAAACCTATTTCAGTCAACTGTATTTTGTAAGCTTGCCTCAAGTTATATGCTTTAAAAGCATTCACAGACTCAAGGTCTATATACGAACTTTATGAACACTGTACAGGTAACACCTACTAGACTTTTCACCAAAAACTACAGAAACATTACCACAGAATCAAACTTCACAATATGCTTGTTTAAAATATAGTTACCTAATAAAACCTAACCAAATATCTTACTATTGTTTTKAATTTAAACTCAGCATATTTGCAAAGTTTCTAGCTTTGATTTAGCAAATGAATTTGACACATGTTGCTGAATCTTTACAGTATGACTACTTTCTTTTTCTTTATTATACTGCTACGTATTTTCTTACAGCAGTCTAGTCAAAGAAAGCAAGGAATGTCTTGTGGTTAGACATCATGCAGAGGATGAAAAAAATCAAAATTCCTTCACTGCTTTGCCACTCACGTCCATCAATTTCAACAAATCTCATTCATAAAGAACACCTGAAAATAATTGCCTTTTCCAATGAAAGTTTTGTAAATACGTATGGAAAAATACCATTTTGGATATGCTTAGACATCACAATAGAAATCTACAGGAAATACTACACGATTTCCTACACAATAGGAAAACTACATTTAGATACACAACATAAAATTTAAATCTAACTTGAAAAAGAATTTGTTTTTCATTTGCGATCTCTYTGTGGTAAACACTATGAACTGATGCTTTACAAAGACAGCAGTTTCTCTCCTATATGCTACCGGAAAAAATCCATTTTCATATGTATTTAAAATGCAAAAATCCATTAATATCTTCTGTGAATTRTTTTTWAAAAATATACTGCATGAGGACTACTTATTTTACCTGTATATCAGTGTCTAACTGTCTTAGAGACCAGTAAATAAATTTAATCACAGGCATGTGCAGTTTGGGATTCACATATGGCATCCACTGGAGCTGTTCAGTAGCCATAGGCAAAAGCTGCAAAAATATACAAAGCCAGAATTATATGCAGTGTATGAACTATTCCATAAGCAATTGTAAGTAAAAAACAAACAAATCTCCTAACTTTCTCTTGGAGTTTAACAGATTACATATGCAAATACTCTCTGGGTAGATTCAGTACAGATAACAGAATTATGTGTATAAACGGGTTTTAAATTTTACACAGATTTACATGCAGGAGTGGAGATACATGTGAGCTCAATCTTAGTAAATCAAATCACAGTGGCTATAMATCTTTTATATAATCAATAAATACAACAAAGTGAATTTTCTGAACACCTCACTGATTTCCAAATCTTGGTATAATGAGAAAGAAAACAATAGAGGTGTTAAAAGTACAGCATAGCATAACCTTTTATCAGTCATATTTGAAACTTTAATATCTAAATGGGCATAAAGACATTTTAAATTTGACCTGTTCATCTCCTTAAACTATCACACATAAAACACAAGACAAAATATCACCTGACAGAAGTCACTTGAAATAAAATGTTGAAACTCTCATAYTGAGACTGGACACCACACTTTTTAYTAAACATTATCTGTATGCCTTACAAATGACARATTATCTATTATATTTCACTGCTGGAATGAAAACTGACTTACTAACAATTACTTTGTTTTAATTACATGCTAACCTGCTATACTCTCAGAATMATTTAAAATATCCAGAAATCTGAAAACACAAACAACCAAAACTCCTTTACCTTCATACACCTTTCCAGAGTACATGAGTTTTTTGAGCTCTGGGTAATCATAGGTTTATGAGTGTCCTCTCTTTCTTCTTGTGTTTTTATTTTGCTAAGATACTGGTCTGAGATCCAATCCATAAGACAGGTTAAGAGTTCATAAACTTGTGAATTCAATGGTAGCTGTAATAAATCCACAACATCAGATATTTCAGCTTACTATTTTAGCTTTAAAAAGCAYTAAGTTGAAACAGACTGAAATACATAAGAGTACACTAGCTATGAAATATTATGCATAATATAGAGGCTGACAATTTTATGCCTGATAAAATCTGAGAGGTGAGTTACTATAGCRTAAGCCAGTGGAAAACATATTCAAGGAGACAGTGATCTTGAACCAGCCCTGTGCACTCTGCTGAGCTTTGTACCTAGGGTTTGAGAAGCCTGTATAGTATTAATATAAATGCAATTTACAATATCTTTGGGAAAGGCAAACTGTGTGTGGATCAAAGGCTGGAAGGTGGCAATCCTGTCTGGGAGACCACTGTACATCGAGGAGTCAGAGATCCACAGCACAGTTAACTTGAGTAGGTGCAGTCTGGACTGTGTGGCACAGATCAACCAACWGCACCGTTATCTTGTGTGCTTGGCTGCAGGGTAAACTCAGGCAGCTCCCACTTGGTGCTGCTGATCCTGCCTGGCCTTGGCCTTGTCTAAAAGGGCAACAAGTTCTTCTCCTGTGAACGYCCTTCATGAGCAGAGCTGTTTTCTTGCAAGAAAATGATACAATATCTTGAGTRGCCAAAATGGAGGAGCTTCTCTCAATGGACAGGCTCTGCTCAGCATGCCCTGGGAAAAGTCCACCTGAGCTCCATCTGATGCTGCACAAACACAAGGTCCCAGGTTGTAAAATGACAGAAGATATGCTCACTATCTATATTCCTCCCTTTACTCTGTCTTATTAACATAGCCATTTAATTAAGCCATTTGCTGTCAGGCCTTTCTTACAAAGATCCAGAAGGAACTCAGTAGCAATTTTCTCTCTCTCTCTCACACTTCACTCCCCACTGCAGAACAGACACCATTTGTGATGGTTTTTGGGTGTGAAAAACATATACCCATAATTTATTTTGTACTTGGACAAATGGTAGTAAAACACCTTGGAAAAAATAATTCACTCAGAGAATCACTACTCTTCATAATTCTGAACAAATGAATTACAGGAGAGAGCAAGYCTTTAATGTCCTTCACATGGGGAAATTCTTATTTCAATACACTAGACCTACTTTGCTTTATTTCATGCAATCCAGCATTGTTGAAATTTAACTGAATAACTAGTATTGCTTTAAAAAAAGAACCAAGACTTCATAAAATTGTCATTCTGTCTCTACTACACAGCAATGAAATATTCTACGAAAGAAATCCAGAGATACCTGAAGACAGGTTACATGAACAATTCTCTAAAGACCTCAAAAGTTTTCTTCTGTCTGCATTCAGATAATTGTTTTCCTCTTTACTCAGAACTGTAACTCCTGATACTATTTGTATTTCACATGCAACCAAAGTAGGCTAAAASCTATATAAAGAGAATTGGTTGGCTCTTTATAGACAGCAGTTTTAAGGCATCCATGATGRTAGATCAGTTAGATAAGGTGGTGTGAATATCTCTCTCATTTCACAGTTTATCTCTATCTGGGAAAAAAAAGAAGCATAACCAGCTGGGTAGTATCATAAATGGAACTACATGGAGACAGAAAGTATTTCATTAAGCAATGTAAGAAGATTTTTTAAGGAARAACAGGCGATTGTTTTGGAACTGTGAATGAACATTGCATTTAATCTCTTTCTTTCACTAAAGATTATTTCTCAAAAAAATAATAGTAGTAAATCACTTTTGGTTTACAAGATTAAGATTCTTTATTGGATACTACTGAATGACTACTTTTTATCTGGTGTTATTTATAAGGATAGTGCTGTACTGTAGCAGTAACCAGAATTAATACAAGATTTGCTCTGACACAGAAAAAAAAACCTGTTACAGTGGACACAGGTTATAACTCTAATTGGCAGATGAAAGATGGCAGGAAAGAAGGAGGAAAACATGCCATATAAACAAAAATATACATATATATACACATAAGCAGTATGAAATACAAGATATATTTTTACCTACCAATGTAGTTCTTTGTTAACTGTGSGTTTTCTCCCAATATAATCTGTTTCTTTTCTTAGCGTAGCTCATAAAATAAAATTGGAAGCTACATTTTGCAATTTCTAGCCAATGCACAGAGAATATTACACTGCCTAATGTCTATCAAATGAAAATATTCAAGACTTCTACTTACTTCTTACCTTAGMAGTTTTCGATGTTGCCACCACTTTTTCCTGTTTCACGGGTTTTCTTTGTTTCATCACTTGACATAAATCGTCAGACTTCCGTACCACTGAAAATTCATGCTTCCTCTACAACAAAATATAACAATGAATTATATTTCACTRGTTTTCTATAAAAGAAGGTACAAGTAAAAACAAACCTTACTTGCAGATTCTCTAAACGAGCTTGTACTTTTCGTGCTTGACMTTCCAACTTCTTGTTCAACTCAGTTACATCACTTATCTGAAAGAAGCAGAAAATATTACAGTACCTGTAAATTCAAAATTCACTTATKGACTTAATTATCACACTGAAGTAACTTGATGCGGTTGTTGAGCAGCTAACTTTTTTAAGATCTTTCTTCTTAGMATTAAAAGTGGTAGAAACAAAACCATCATCCACCTCCCTCAACAAATCACAGGATAAAACACTGGCTGAGGTTTGACAGCACCTCTGGAAGATATGTGATCCAGCCCCCCAGCTCAAGCTGGGATATCAAGAACTGGCTGCCCAGGACTGTGTCCAAACAGCTTTTGAACAGCACCAAGGTGTCACTCTTAATAACCTCTCTGGGCAACCTCCATTCTGAACAAACAAGACAGCAGCAGCAGCTCTTTGTTGACCAGCAGCCCAACATTTCAGAGTACAGGGGAAGAGTAAACACTACAGTATCACTCTAGATATACAGATACTTTGTATTTGATTACTTTTCAGGAAGAAGTGACATAAAAATGAGCACAGGCATCAAAAATGTTACAATAGTCTTGTTAAAGAGGAAGGTGGATACTGACTATACTAGAAAAACAGTTTGGTTAATAAGAAAAGAACAGGGAAACTGGAACCTCCATTTAAATAAAAAAACATACTCTATCCATACAACAATAAACAGCATGGCCATCACAGAAGCCCTCAGCTGGCACACAAATGCAAAGATTTTATAGTGAGAAGAAATAATGAGACASATGGGCTGCATCACAACCATCACCATCCTAGGAGTTAGGTCTGACCTTCTCTAAGGGAAAGAATAAGGCTCTGTAGATTTTTACTGTAGTCAGATTATCAGAAATGTAAGTAGTTCAATGAATAAACAATGCTCAAATAGTTTAGATAACAATTTGTGTTTCATCATTTTAGGTCAGACTTAGTCAAGTGAGATAAATTCCTACTCTATGCATTACTGTGAAACACTGTTTCAGTTTAGGAACTGAGAAAATGCCTTCATTAAAATTTGCAAAAATAACTGTAGAAACTGAGCAAACATGAAGTTAGAAACACACATTCTACTTTTTATTTAATTGAATAAGCACAGCAATTTAGCACAGCAAATCAGCATATGGTGGATTTGATTATGCCATAAAATACTTCCTCTCTATCTACACTCAATGGATATACACTTCCTAACAATTAGCTGTTGCTAGTGAGTCAATGGAACAAACCCAACTTCTTTTTTATACTGTAAAAGATCAGAAAGGCTAAATTTCAAGCACTAGAAACAGGTGAGAAAAGTACTTTCCGTCACTCATACAATTCTTGTCTTACAGAAAAAAAAAATCAACCGTTTTGCAAACTAAAGCTGCTCAAATATTTTAAATTGTGGCCTGTAACCTGTAGAATTATTTATAATAGRAAATAATTAATCTTACCTGTTTTCTTAAGGAGCTATTAATTTCCTTCAAGCTGTCAAATGACATCTTCAGCCTCCTATTTTCTTTAGTTATTTCTCTCAAGGCTTCTGTCAGTTGCTTAAYTTCTGCCTCATGTTGCTACAGAAATATCAAATTTAAAAACATAATTTAAAATAAACTATTCTAGAAACAATAGGTTTCCTCTAAGTGTCCAAAGAATCAGACAAACTGTCAAATATCAAGTTCTTCATGTCCAAATTTGCATGTCCATGTTCAGTCAGTAGTGAGAAAAACAAGATCCATACTGTGTAKGAAGAAGGATCAATACAGAAACTGAGAGCAACATGCACAGCCTATAGATCCTATTCCTGCTATATTCTACCCAAACCAACCATATATATATATTTCTCAAATAATTCAGATGTGGGATGAGTTGGTGAACTAAAATCAATGACGAAGCTTTTACGTACAGCTAACACTTCCAAATATTTCCAAAAAATGGTGATTGTATTTTTGACATTTCAACTCATGTTTTTAGCTTTGCTCATTCTGAATCATGCAGAGTGAGAAACAAAACCTATGCCTTGTAGACTGGGGATCTGGTTTACAACACAGGCATGTGAATTGTTAAATACAACCTGTATATCCACTACCATTTGTCTCTTAACCCTGAAATTTAGTTTATATTTAATCTTCTCTGGACCTCAGATTAAATACCTCAGATTTGATAAAACAGCAAAGTTTTATTTTACTGAAAATATTAAAGCTTTCATTTCTCCCTTTCCATGAATTCACTCTTCTTTACTCATTCACCTACTCCTTCTTCCCACACCCCCAGATAGATTGATCTTCTTCTGAACTTTCTGAGTCTTTGTTTGCTAGTTCTCTCTGCAACAGGTCTTAGTTGTAAGATCCTAATGTGTCTTAAAGCCTTCCCAAGGAAATCCACTGCAACTACAATTAATGCAAAGGTACTCCTTTAACTTACACACAGTTACAGATAGATCACAATTTTTCTCTAATATTGGTCACATAGCTTTCGCTATTTTAGGAACAAGTTACCTCTTTTTTTCTAACTTGTAACAGTAAAATGTACTACACWTCAGACAACCAAATGCATCATTCTGAAACAGAAGTCGTACAAAACCCCTAGCAATATTTAAGTATCCAAAGCAATTTTTTAAGTATTGTAAGTATTTTTTTCACATAAATATTTCCTTTGGGAATTTGAAGCACCTCAAAGAAATAAGCAGGATTTCCAGCAAACATGTGATGGCTTAAGATAACTACAGATTAGTTAAATGGCATGTAGAGCAGTATCTACAATTAAATATATTATTTCACCTCTTTTATAACTCCAAATTTTGTGTGAACTTCTTCCTCAACACTTCTTATTTTAGCCAAAGCTGCTTCATGTTTAAAAAGCAATGCTTCTCGTTCTGTTAGACAACGCTCTYGTTTCTGGAGTTGCAGAGCATACTCCTGCTGTGCTGAACTTTCTCTCTGTACCAAGAAAAAAGATGTTAAACTACTTTAAAAACCTATGTGAAGTTTCCCCAAATTATGMTGAATTTAAAATTTTTCCCCAGAGATATGCTTAGCTCTTTGTGAAATTATAGAGTAACACAAGAGCTTACTAGTACAAAGTATCTCGACTGCCATCTTTGTTCAGTGTCCTCCCACATTAACCCAAACGAATTTGATGTGCATCGGGAAAGCTCAGGCTCTCAAAATACAAAAATTAACTCAGCATTATTRTTCAAGACATTTAAACTTTGGCTTTTGCTTCCCAAATATTTGGATAATACTACCAACTGTAAGACAGAATATAGTATGATGTGACAGTCTATGCTGAATACTAGATTAATGATATTACTTATTCAACTAGTGAGAAGCATCCCTGAAAAAGTGGTGAGGAAAAGAGAGACTCAGAARTATTTTTTACTTGTATGTTGCAAAAGACAGTTAAGACACGGAATCCAGTAGAAGCTTAGGAACTATTACAGAGTAAAACCATACAGCAAGTTCTRTTAGCAGCCTGAGCCTACTGGAAATGAACTGGTGGGATGAATAGAGTGATTTTGRAGTAGGCCATCATGGAAAGCACTTTGGAACGCCTACAGTCAAGAGAACAGTTTCAGATGCTCTCAAATAAGCAACGGTTGTGGGTGCTCCCCTCTATGCCCACAATGTGTCACAAGAGTCTTGGATGTAAAAACAGTGTTTAAACTCCCTAAGGCTGAATCTGCCACTTACCCATCTACCTGATCTACCCACAATTCAAGTAAAAGCATCATTACCGAATCATTGAATTAATCTAGGGGAAGAGGCAGATGAAGGCAGAGGTTTAGTATATAAGTCATTGTGATTAGTATAAAGTATTAGATCTAATATATAAGTAAGTTTTACTATATATGTAATTTCAGATCTCTTTATGAAAAGTGAGAATCTTCACAGAACTATTCAACAAAAATTTTAAGGCACTTCCAGTTCCTACCTGGAGCTTCTGATGTATGACAAATAATTCATCATAAATTTGACTGATGTGAGGTGGCATTAAACCTTGYCTATTGCATGCCTGAGCACCAGTATCATGCACAATTTTCTTTAAGAAACCATTGTTAATAATTTGTTCCCTTTTTTCTTSAGTATTTGCATCCAAATGAGATGGTAAAGTGTGGCCTGTGGACAGGGAAAAAATGCATTTTACATTWAAAAAAATCTGTCCTAGYTAAAAACTGATATGATTRTTGTAYGRAATCAGTGAAAATGTGTTCTAAAAATTTAGAGTTACAAGTATAGAGCAAGATGTATCAAAAGGTGCAAGTACTCTAAAGAATTACAGAGATTTGATCAGAGTTTTTGTTCCGTGATTTATTTTAACTGATCAGGAATCAACAGAATTTTATAAGCAMAACTATGCCCTCCACTGCAATATAGAAATCACAGAGATATCTGTATGGAGTCTATGCAYAGAGTGAATCATGTCACCAAAACCTCCTATTTTTGTAAAGGCTTCAGGCAAGTGATTTGCTACTGAATAGACTTTAGGGTGACACCTAAGTAAACAGAACAAGACTTAAGAAACTACTTGACACCACATGAGAAAATAATGTTAGTACTGCTTCAGGCATGTCTAAACCTTCTAAAATAATTCTAAAGAAAGTATTCATGTAAAAGTTTAAAACACCACATTAAAATACATTTTAGGTGACTAGTGTATTTCTGAATTGAATAGAAATTTACTAGAAAGTTTTTTTAGTTATACTTCACAGTTGTAAGAATATATAAAATTAAGTATTACCTGTTCCCATGTGTATAGCTGTATTTTGAATTGCATCAGTTTCAGAGYAATCAATGGCCTTTTCTTCTACTTCTAGATCACTTGAATCACAAAAAGAATCTTGCTTATCATGAAAACTAAAAGTGCAAAAGAGCAGTWACTTTAAATTATTTAACTCCTTCCTACTGTGATATGTAACAGAGAAGTCTGAAAGAAGTCTGTATAAAAAGGCAAACACTGCTTAATRTAAGACTTTGATATTTTACTGATAACAAATAGGAGAGTTAAATCATTTGGATGAAAGGCATTATTACTCMCAAGACTTTAACCACAGCAATTATGTATTGCTGACTTAAAAGTTGTTACAATACCCAGGCTTTTCATGCTGTAAGCACATGAAAGCAACAGGTAAAACCAACATTCTTCTCTCACCACAAACCACCAAATTTCTGGAGAACTAAAAACACAAGTAYTCTTTTTAAATTGTGTATTTCCTGTTTAGTGTAAAATGGGCCTTTAAAGAAATTCTTGGTATTTAGAATAGAATTATTTCTAAACAAACATAAAAATGTTTATCAGCCTGGGCTATTTGCTTTCTTCCTAGTTCATGTTTTCATCACCTAGTTCAGTTTATGTCATGTCTGTCTCCCCTTAACAATTCCAATATACACCAATTAGATCAGAAAGTGAAACAATATTCCTCATCAAAATCAGCACTCTCATTATCTCACAAATTGTCCACAAACAATTCTTTACTTAACATAAAACAATAACTTTAAAACAGCTTTCAAATATATTGTTTATTCATTGTTTCATCTGGATTATGCGAGAAAATAAATAACGAAGAACTAAAAACACCTCCTACCAACCCCAGTCTTTCAAACTTTTTTGGAATTCACTGGATCTGATGTTGTTCTCTCTTCCAGTTTCAGTAAATTCTGACTCTAAAGAACAATTTGACAAAGAAATAGCTGTATTTTCCAGTGAGCTGCCAGTGTCACCTGTAATATATAAAGTGACAACAATTTTATTTTTCATTTGAGAATTTGACATTAAGAAATCAACAAAGACTTATTAGAAGTGCTTGCCAAGTAGTCATGTAGGTTTAAGAACCAAAACCACCACTGATGCAGCCTGACAAATTATGAATTTAATTATAACAGCTTAAACCATAGTAAGAATTATTTAGCTTTCACACCAGATTTCTTTCTGAAATTTTAGAGCTTGTCTGCATATAGAAATTTTTCTGTAACTGAAGTCTGATAAATACATTGTTTTAGCCTGTTGTCCTCATGCACCAGTTTCTGAAGGAGCCAAAATATATTACAAATTTTAAACATTTATATATCTTTAAATTAAAGCCAAATATACACATTATGAGGCAGACTGATACCAACTAATGCAAGCAGGACTTAAACACAAATAGGCTGTGAACTGTTGTTCTAAAATATCCTTTACTTGCATGTCAACATTCCCAGGCTGGCTCCCAGRTATCACAACCCCCTGATCAAGAATATCTACCTATTGAAAATCAGAAAGTACAAAACTGCTTTAAATAAATTTAGGAATGACACAGCTTTAGTGTATATTTCYCCTGCAAAAGATATCAAAGCCCTATTGTTTGGTATTACCTTTGTAAAATAGGGAGCTTCCACTTTTGTATTTGGTGTGCAATGCTCCTGAGACGCAATCCTACAAGAAAGCACAAAACCACTGCAATCTAGTCAGAATTTTCAGAGGAAAAGTATGTTACAACTTACTGGTTTAACAGTTACAACACCTTAAGACAGGATTCTTACTATAGACCACTGGCTTTGAAAAGTGAAGTTGTTTTTTTTTTTTAATACAGAAATGTAAATGGTCCTCATATTAATATGAAGAGACAAATATATTCCCTACAATCTAATAACAAAATATTCACAGTGTCATATGTCGGAATATTTGAGAAACTATAAAGCCAATATGAAGACAGTAACATAAAATAAAGTAGAATTAGGTAATCACAGAAACAGTGCCATCTACCTTCATATCAAGGCTTTTTAAACCAAAGTATCCTGCTCTACTTTTTCTTACTAATTTCTAACTACATACTAAAAAAGTGAATGACAGAAGTTTTAGACTACAAGCAAAATCGATTAAATGCACCTTACAAAATATCAGACTCAAGGCAACTCTCTTACTTGTTTCATTGCATCTCCCTGCTATACTCTAAATCAAGTGATCAGCTGCTAAATTTTCCTGCACTTGAAAGACCACTTTTTAATAAAATAACAAAGCACACGAACACATGAAACATTTTCTTCCTTGCAAGCATTAAAGTCTCAGTGACAGTCTTTTAAAAATAAGATTTAAAATTTATTTTTCTTTAAAGAACAGTTCTGTAATTCAAAGCAGAATATATCCCAATGAAAAAATCCCCATAGAGTCTAAAACACCATCAAATGCTATTCAAGTTGCAAATCCTTCTGCAGGAACTAAGGGCACATACAGCTGGATTTTAGCTTCTAAAATCCTCAAATCTTCACATACATTTGGGACAGTTCCTGATCTTAAAATGGCAAACCACTTTTTATAAGGAAAAAAAAAAGGCTGGGTTTTCTATACATTTGTTGACTCCTAGAACTCAGTATCCCAACCATGTATCTAAGTCAAAGCCAGCTTTCAATCTCTCTCAATCTTTGGTTGCTCATCGGTATTTTTCCAACTTATGACTTCGCTTGGAGTATGCGTTTGAGCACTTCACGTCTGTTATCCCCTGGATACACTGGAAGCATTTGACCCAGGGAATACAGATGCAGGAAAATAACTGCAAAAATTTGTTTCACTGGAAGACAAACAGAATTCAGGCAAATAAAGGTGCTTGGCCAGCAAGTACTCCTCCTAAGTATCAATGGCTTTTGAAACACCAGAATCGGAGATGGATCTTTGCTGCTGGATTTTTAGGCACATCAGTTTCCCAGACCACTGAGCAGACCCATAAATACTTGTCAGCACAACAGAGAGGCAGCACAATACAGTTCTTCATTCATAGACCAGAAAAAGTCAGGTTCTTTCTGTCATAAGACAACACKGCTGTACCTCAACAAGGGAATGATATCCATCATAATTTACTGTCTGGTCTTTGCTGCAGTCTCTAATGAACCATGGGTTGGACTCCTGATTGACTAGATAGGGAASAATTTCTTGCTCTCTGACAACAGAACTAATCACTAGGCTTTACATATAAACACTCCTAACGTATTCTAAGTACGGCTGTCAATTATCGTGGCAAAAATGAAATTAGTTAACCTATCACATATATATTTCATATAAGCTTAGTATAATCCTAAGACGATTCATGTATTTTCTGACTCAACTAGCAGGCACTAGGTCTTAGGCAAGAATTAGGTTCTAAGCTGTATCTTGACACTGCACGGAATCTGGAATTGCAGTTTCCAGGGAAACTTCCTGCCCAAGCARGTCTTCAGCACTCCTATTGTAAGGCAGAGCACYGGGACAAGGGTAGATCTAGAMACGGCACGTAAGCTCCTCAAATCTRTTTAAAGGCCACTTTTGTCTCGCACCGCCCGGGTACGCAATAGCACATCGCTCACAATAAACCCCGAGGGAGGGGAGAGGCCCCCTCCCTCCATCTCCTCCAAACACCTTAGGGAGACGGCGAGGAGGAAACGGCTTTTCCGTGCGTTTTCCTCCTTCCCCCCGCAGGCCGCCCGCCCCGGCCCCGGCCCCGCCTCACCCCCGCCGGTCCCCGCCGCTGCAGGCGCTGGGCAGAGCGGCCGTGCCTCAGGCCGGGTCCCGGTGCCGGTGCCGGTCTCGCCATGGCGGCCCCGCCGCTCGAACCAACCGCCACGGGGCGCGCAGGCGCACTGGGGGCCGCGGGCAGCGCGGGGCGGGCGGGGCCGGCACACAACAACAGCAGCAGCAGCAGCAGCAGCAGCAGCAGCAGCGCTCCCGCCCGCCCCCGGCACGGCTCCAGCCTACGGCCCGACAGCACAGGGCACCTGCACCTGTTAAACACCCCCAGCGCCGGGGATTCCAATACCGCCCTCAACAGCCCATTCCAATGTCCAATCACGCTTTCTGTGAATAAATTCTTCCTACTGGTCAACCTAAATTTCCCCTGGCACAGTTTAAGTCTAGATCCTCTTGTCCCGTCGCTGGTTGCCTGGGAGAAGAGGCCGAACCTCCCCCCGGCCCCCAGCTCCAGCCTCCTTTGAGGTGGTTGCTAAGAATGGTAAGGTCACCCCTAGAGACGTGYTACTGCCATCCTTTAAAAAAATAAACAAACAAACCCTAAATAAACCTAAAGCTAAGCTAAATCCATGATAATGCCAGCAGAGAGCTGCAGAGTTTAAATAAACCCAACATCTAACCCATGCATACTCACTCACGAGGGGCAAAGCTGTAAAAGGTAAAAGCACATTGGCATTCATAAACTCAAGTCTGCAGCGAGGTCAGAAGCTGGCCACAGCTAATAAAACAYTGAGCAGGGTTAGAGGGTTGTACTTAGAGCATGTCAGGAAAAATCCCAGTGTTAAGCAGATGTTTCTCATTAAGCCAAGTTTTTTAGAAATATTTTAAGTACAAAAATCCTGTATACTTCTCTAGCACAACACTGATCAATCATTTAAAAACTATGCTCTAGCTTTTAAATACTCAGGTGACATTCAGAAATTCCAGACAAAAGAAACCAGCAACCACTACCTGGCTCAGCCTTCTTTCTGCACCCATTAACTTTAAAAGCCTTCACTGTACTGTCGAGCAATTTGTATCTACAATCTGCACATTCAAAACAGCTTAATGAGAGCAGGAGGCAAAGTTATGGAAGTTTTTTCTTTTAAACAAACCAAAGTGAAGACTAGACATTTATTTTAACAAGACTAGGATTTAATTTTTAAAATTTGACACTTAATACAAATATGTCAGGATAACACAAATACACCTGAAATATGCCAGTGCCTGAACTTTATTTAACATGCAAAAAATCAATTAGAACACATAAAAAATTCAATTATAACCTGTAATTTTACATTTATACATCAGAAGTGTCCATTTTAAGAAGTTGAAATAATTAGTCAATAACATCTAAGTACTGATTTATACTGCTAGAACACTTGTATACTCAAAGAAATAATTCTATATTTGTCCACAGTCTGTAATGACAATTCTTCCATTTACTAGCCCTTTAGGAGAACCAAAGGATTCAATCTTTTTCACAACATCCATTCCATCTTTCACAAAGCCAAATACCACATGCTTGAAGTCCAAGTGTTCTGCTTTTTTAAGTGTTATGAAGAACTGAGAATTATTTGTGTCCCTGCCCTTGTTTGCCATTGACAATAATCCAGGACCAGTGTGTTTCACTTCGAAGTTCTCATCTTCAAATGCTGTTCCATAAATTGACCGTCCGCCTGTTCCATCATAGTTAGTTATATCGCCTCCCTTAAAAAAAAAAGAGAAAAAGAAAAAAAAAAAAGCATAGCATTAACTGCTAAGTCCYAAAACATAACCCAAAAATTGTATTTCCTTTTAACAGTAAAGACTTAATTTTGGAAGAATTCATTTTTCATTTTCACAAGTATCAGTATCTGCTTAGATACAAGGCTATCCTGGCTTCAGCAGGTTTGCTAAGGGAAGCAGCATTGGAAGGTTTATCCCTTGTTTATTCTGAACACAGCATTTTATCTTTCTGCTCCCCATGGTGACATTCCTCTATACCTGTCTTTCCTACTGCCTGCATCACTTGGCCCYGGAAGCTGCCTGGACCTGCATTATCTCACTGAAGGCCTGTCCTTGCTTAGCCCCTGCAGGCATAGAATTCATCACCTGAAAAAGGTTAATACAGCAGCAACCAGTAATTCCATAGGACTTTTGCCACATTACTGGTTGAGCAGCATAAGAAGTGTGTCTTATCTTTCTGGAAGGTAGTAAATTTCTGGTTCCTGATAATTTGGGTAAACACATAAAGGTGACAGTGTAAGTTGTATCTCGAAGAAAGCCCTAGTTCACTGAAGACTTTCTCACCCTATCTGAAGAAAGTCCAGGCAAAGCAGAGCAAACTCAAAATACACTCATTTCACGTGATAAAAACCTCACTTTGTCAAGGTACTCATGGTGCAGTTAACTGCTTTAAAAAGAAAGTCTGCTCCTTATAGAACGTTGAATACCCTGAAAGAAGCTTAAACCTTAAATGAGCTAATACTGCTTTGCTGATCGGAATGGCACAAAGTTTTAACAAAAGAGCCATGAAGCGCATACTTCAGGTAGACAGCTAATCAAAAGACAGGCTATTCTATTACTCTGGTGACAAGCCATTCATATACTATCACAGAATGGTTTGGATTGAAAGGAACATAAAGATCATCTAGCTCCAACTCCCCTGCCATTGGGAGGGACATCTTGATCTAGGACCAGCTTGCTCAGAGCTCCAACCAGCCTGGCCTAGAACACTGACCGGGATGGGGTAYCTACAGCTTCTCYGGGCAACCTGTTCCAGTGTCTCACCATCCTTACAGTAAAGAGTTTTCTCCCAACATCTAAACCTACTCTCCTTGACTTYGAAGCCATTCCCCCCATGTTCTGTCACTACATGCTCTTGTAAAACATTTCTCTCCATCTTTCTGGAAGGCTTCCTTGAGACACTGCAATGACACCGTTACATCACCTCTAAGCTTTCTCTTTTCCGGGCTGAACAAACTCACTTTCACAGCCTTTCCTCATCGGACCAGTGCTCCATCCTTCCTAAAGGTATTGGCCCTCCTCTGGACTCACTCTAACAGGTTSATATCCTTCCTATTACTTTAGTAAATTCTTTTCCTATATTACTGTATACATCTGAGCTTGTAGAAGGTCATCTACATCCCTCATCTTCATGTATTAGTGACATGCAAATCATTAGCATAGCATGTACTGAAGTTGGTTTATTTTACTTGTTACAAGTTACTAAAACTCAATGAAGTATTGATAAGAATTTTAGGRAAGATTTCTCTGAGCTATGATCAAGCTCCCAAGCGTTCAGCACTTATGAAGAACTTGCCAGTGCTACCAAATGTGGACAGAGGCTTAAAACCAACACCGTCTACCTGAGATACACATGTACTGCACGCTGATACTCTCAGCATAAAACCCAATGTTTTAGGAAACAGGCCACTGCATAATTGGATCTAGAAGACATGTTTTAAATTGAAACCTGAACATCTAGAGTACTCAGAATATCAGTTTTAAAGTGCATGGTATCTGAAATACAAAGTGTATTTTAAAGTSTAAGAGAAGCCTGGAAAGTAAGTGCTCTTAACAGGTGAGCATACAAAAGTTCTTCTCTGGAGAAAGAGRGAAGGATGAATGGAAGTTTTGGAAACACCTACTTTCCTTGGTGTTCCTGTTCAGCAACAGGCCCCTTGTCTATTGTAGGAGGATCCCACTCTCCCTCCATGTTTTTTCTTCCACACTAAATRATAACACCAGGATACACTGAAGCATGAGACTACTGGCAGACATAGGTGAAAAGCATCTATCTTAGGGTAGCATGTGCTGCTTGCACCATTTCTCATCTCCTTGCAGGGAAAGGACAGATGAGMGTATCCTGCACAATGGATCCATGCTGCCAATAGCAATGTGTTGTTCTGTGTAAGTTATTTTTTGAAATACCATTGTTAGTCAAGATGTATCTCATTTGCTCAGTGAAGATATGCTTACCTGGCACACAAAGTCTGGGACTATTCTGTGRAAGCGGGAGTTCTTGAATCCAAATCCCTTCTCTCCTGTGCACAGGGCTCTGAAATTTTCAGCAGTTCGAGGAACAATATTTGAAAACAGCTCCATGGTTATGTGTCCTAAAGGTTCACCATCAGCAGAAACTTCAAAATACACAACAGGGTTGGTGTCCTTTGACAGTCCTGCTGCCAGGGACAAGTGCCCCTTCTGTAGTTCTGACAAGCTTAGCTGGCATTCTTCAAACCTGCTCTTGAAGGAATTGGCAAGTTCTTGGCTTTTAAATTTGACTGCAAATTGTTCTACTTTGACTTCACCATCTGAAAATAAATCCAAAAAAAAGGTTTCTTGAGTCTAATTTTCTAATAATCTCTGGGGAAAAACAAATCCACAGAAACTACAGATAAACCTAGAAAATACAAAGACCACCTGAAAAAAAACTCACCAGTGTAATCTGTGGCAGTCCAAATGAAAGCATTGTTTGATGTATCAGAGGGCACTAAATTCATTTCTTTGGTGATAACATGGTTTGCACAGACTTTAAGAACCTGATCTCTTCTCATTAGGATYCTGTAGTATTTCTTCTGTGTATGGAAGAGGATTTTCATCTCTCCAACACCACGCTCCTTCCACTGAACAGCATCCCTGTCCCATCTGTAAAGTTTTGCCCTCTCTTTGAAGAGAATTTCTTCATCTTCTTCTCCAGATTTTACCTCCACCTAAAATAAATAGCATATTAGACTGAGTACCAGTGATTTCCTAGGGAGATATTAAATAATTATTACATACACTTATGTTCATTCTGACATATTACAATGGAAAATTATTCCATGTGCTCCCTTCTCCAACACCCCATTCATCACACAAAAATGAGTACAACATTTTCAAATTTTAAGAGCACAACAAATTGCACTATTTGAGATTAATAACACAACTGCAATACTCCACCATGCTGCATGTAGTTCTGGTGTTTGTTGGTTTTGCTTTGGGAGTGGTTTGGCTAGTTGGTTTTTGGTGGTATTTTCTTTATGTGGTTTTTTTTTCTTCTTTTAACAAAACCCCACAACATTATCAAGTGTTCTGGAAAGTTTCCTGTTTGCTGAATTATGTGCACATTGAGA